GAGGACATGGTGGGACGGGACGGGGCGTGAGAGGGGAGCTGCCAGCCCCAGCACAGCTCCGGACCCGGACGTGCCCCTGAACCTCGCGGTGCTGCGGGTTCCCGGCACGTGGGGAGGGCAGCTGGGATGGAGCTGCTGCCGCGTCCAACCTACCAGGAGGTCGGAGGTGCAGCCGTAGCTCACGCCGACGGTGCTCATGCGCTTCAAGTCCACGTACTTGCCGAGAGCCTTCAAGCCCTTCATGCAGCCCCGGATGGGCCCTCCCGTGGGGAACAGCGCCTTCAAGCTGTGGGAGAAGCAGATGGTGTCACCAGGCTGGCCCCATGGTCCCCTCCAGCCCTTCACATCCAACACCCATGTGGGACCACAACGCTTGGAGCATCTCTGGTGCCTTGAGCATGAGGCCGCTCCAAAGCACCTGGCCCTGCCAAGGAGGCCTCAGTGGCACCCAGGAGCAGCTTGTTGCTTATGGAGATGTTGGGATGTCCCTCATGACTATGGGCTGGAAGAGAAAAGCTCCTGGCAGCTCTGCAGGGACCCCTCAGCCACCTGGGATCTGGAATTTCCCCCGCCTTGCTCCATGTGCTCATTCCCGTAGTGCCCACATGGGGCTGGACCCACCTGGGGGGCAGTGCAGCGGGCGGCACGCCGCCCAGGTAGTAGGAGACAGCGTTCTCCAGCGAGTTCTCCTGCTCCACCATGAAGATGGTGAGTCGCTCCAGCCGCACCAGGATGCGTTTCTTATTGTTCATTTTCAGGAGGAAAATCTGGATCTGGAGACAGAGGGGAAATTTGAGGCAATGGGTTTTATCTTGAAAGACCACAGAGCATGGCCAGCCCACAGCTGGGGGTGAAGGAACCCCGCGAGGGAAGCCCAGGGCCTGCAGGCTGCAAACCCCCTCTCCAAACACGGCTCTGAGCATCCCGTGTGCCCCGCGGGTGAACAACACTGGGAGAGACGGAGCCAGGAGCCAGCGCGGGAGCTGTGACAAGGAGCAGCCTTGGAGGATGGAGCAGCTGAGCCCGCGCGGATCCCCACAGGGCAGGAGCCAGGGGAGCGGGGCTGGTGCTCCCCGCGCCCGCCGGCCCGCGCGCTCCTCACCGCTTGGGTCGAGGTGCTGCCGATGGCGAGGGATAAGGAGTTGTTGCTGGGTTTTGCTGTCTCCAGGCCGCCGCTGAAGTCGTAGTAAAGCACCAGCTTCCCGTCCCGGATGGCCAGACACAGGAACTGCCCCTGGGGAGACACGGTGCCTTCAGCAAGAGCAGGAGCAGGTCCTGCTCTGCTGCCTTGACCTGAGCTGCAGAGATGATCGTGATGGGATGTTTCCCTGGAAATGGCAGCCCTTGGGCTGGGCATAAGGCAGGTACCACAGGTGGGAAATGCCCCTTGCAGTACCGCCTGCCCAAGGGAGGCTGGAAGTGCATGGATGCTCTCAGAGTTAAAAGGGAGCCTCTCCAGCACTGGACAAACTCTTCCCACTATGTAATTCCCTCAACTGGAAACAACTGGATGAGATTTCTCCTGGAAAGTCTCAATGCAGCTCTCAGGAGAGCTGGGCGAGGCCCAGGTGAGGGACCAAGGCTCTGTGGCTGCCCGGAGGTCCCATGCAGAACAGGGGAGCTGGCACCTGCCTCATTCTCCAGGAAGAAGATGATGCCGTTGTAGGAGACCACCCGGATCTCCTGCTCGAAACGCTTGGTCGTGCCAAACTGGCTCTCGAACTTGATCTGTGCGTAACCGGTGCCATCAAAGTAGGAGCCATCTGTCAGCCAGGGGTCTCCTGTGGACTTGGACCTGAGCCATGGGACGAGAGGGGATGAAGCATCACTGCCTGTACCCCTCTGGGACAACCAAGGATCGGGATAATCCCAATTTCTGGAGGTAGGAGCGGCCCTAACCCTGGGGAGGGGATCCTACCTTGCGCAGGGCTTCTCCGCAGCGGTATCCAAGTGGAAGGTGTGCTGGAAGTTGTATAGACTCACGACCTCTTCGTTGAGCGTGTCCAGCTCCAGGCACCCGCGGTAGTTGGGGTAGCGCAAGGTGGGAGGGGGCTGGGAACAAATCCGGCCAGTTGGCGCAAGTTTGCTCCCGCCTTTCCCACGAAACCCGGCATCTCCCCCCAGGGTGTCCCTCCCTGCTGCCATCTCACCGTGAAGCTCGAGGGGTAGCCACCCACGTAGAAGACCACGTTGCGTGGGTCCAAGTTGAGCAGCCCCTGCTCCCCCTTGGCAACACTGTCTCCCTTGGTCTCGTGCACCATTTGCCTCTCCACGATCACCGACATGTGTCCGTACTGCAGGATCCTGTGGTGGGGAGGGATGGTCAGGGCGAGTGAAGAGCCTCGAGGAGGACCAAGTCCACTCTCCCCAAGCACAGAAGCCTCCCTGCTGCTGACTTGATGGACATTTCATCTCTCCTCTCCCACAGGTGCTTTGCAGCCTCTCTGTGACCTGGGAACACCATCTCCTGATGGATTTTGGAGATCTCCACATCATCTCTACAAGCTGGGGGGCCTGCCTGGACTTGGATATAGCAGCAGCCACATCAGCTACTGGGGCAGTTCTCCAACAAAATTCTTCAGGATTTTTCCCATGAAAGCCTTTCTCCTGCTGCTCTTCCCTTCCTGAACTCCTGACATGGGTTTGGCAACTGCTGTATTTCTCCCTGGGGGTGGTCCACCCGTTTGTTTTTCCTGCATGACTGTCCCTCAGAAGAGCCTGCCACGGCCAATGTTTGCCTCCGTCTCCTACCTGTTGAGGCTGATGGTGGCAAACTGCTCTCCGATCTCCTCATCGACGGTCAGGGAGGCTGGGTCCTCATCTCCCAGTTTGTAGACCCACTGCACTTTGCGGTCCTTGAGCACGATGCCCATGTAGTCTCCAGAGGCCTGAAGGAAGGGAACGCTCAAGATCGGGGTTCAAGCCCTCCAGGATGGACAGGAGGGTCCAGTGATGGCTCCTCTGACAGGACATGGGGATGAAGGCTGCACATCCGACCCCTGCGTGTCCAGTGCAGGGAGGGAGGCTGGGCAAACCCCACTGCCCTCCCTATTGCTGCATCCTCCTGCCCTGCTCCTGCCGGCCGTGCCTGAGCGGCCCCGTCTCACCTCTCGGCTGCCCAGGTAGAGCACGAAGCGCCCCTCTTCCGCGCTGTCCTGGCGCCGCTGCCGGCTCTTGAGCTCGGGGTTCTGGATGTAGAACTTGAGGGACGTGTAGGCTGCCAGGTCCTGCAGGTTGCTGGGCATGCGGACCTGCACGCCCGAGCTGCCGTTGAACTTCATGGGGACTTTCACCTGCAGGGAGAGAAACCAACCCCACAGGGCTGAAAATGCTGCTGTGCATCTGCTCCCCTTCCAGCTCTGCACAAAACGCTTCTGCAGTTTGTGTGTGAAAAAGGGAAACTGCCTGGAAGCCCCAGAGCTTCCCTGTGCTCGTGTCCTGCCCTTGTGCTCGCCCTCATCCATGCCAAGCTCCCGACCCGGCTCTGCAGCCCTCCTGCTCCCACGAACCCACCTTGCTGGCTGCGTTCCTGGCCTGCGTGATGAGCTGCCGGATGCGCACGATGTTCTCCGACACGGTAGCATTCTTGTTCCTCCTGTTCTCCAGGCTGCTCAGCTTCCCCAGCAGCAGTGGGATGGTGCTTTCCAGGCTGGACACTGCGTCGGAGAGGAGGAGCCAAGGTTTAACAAGGTTAGTCAGGGAGAGGGATGCAAAGCTGGGGCAGTTTTGAGATATGCAAATCCAAGCAGTGGCCGTTGGAATCTGAGTCACAGAATTATCCCCTAAAACCAGCAGCCTCTGGTAGATTGTGAAAATGCTCCACTGCATGGAAAGCTCTGCAGTAAACACAGAGGTGACACTGCAGGTCGAGGAAATAAAATAAAGGGTTTTAAATAAAATAAAATAAAGGTTGAGGCACCCAGTCTCAGCTCCTGGAGGTGAGGTGCTTGCTAAGGGCAGGTTGGGCCGCGCTGATGGAGGCCGAGCTGGCCCCAGGGAACCCAGCGGGCCCGGTGCTCACCCGACTTCCTGGCGTCCTGCACCGCCCGGTTCAGGTCTTCATTTCGTAGGTCTCCGTATTGGTCTTTCCACTCATCCAGGTTCTTCTTCATGGTGTTCAGGGTATCTTCCACTCTCGCAGCTGTTGCGTTGGCCTCGGCTGCTGCTGCTTTGGCATTCTGGATTGACTCCTTGGTGTCCTCTGCGAGAAAAGCAGGAAAATCTCCGGGTTGAACAGGTGAGAGGAGAAGTGAAGCTTGTAACTGGGGTTAGCTGCATGGCAGCCCTCACGAGGAGACCCAGGCTGAGGGGCTGCAGGAGCAGTGCTGGGAGACCTCTGCACACCCAGGGACAGGAACACGTGTGCTCATTTACCTAAAGCAATGGGGCTCCACATGAAATGATGCTGACCGCTCTATTAACCCATGCTCAAAGTCCAGCCCTATCCATAGTTGCCCTCCCTTAAGGGGGGAAGGTGTAGATAGCAAAGGAATTTATAGGGATTTACGAGAGAGCAGGCTGTGGAGCTACAAGGAGCACGTGGGCAATGGCCTAGGTGATGGAGGGGAACAGGAGCAGCTGCCCCAGGACAAACCTTGGTCCCTGCCCAGTGTGTCTTGTACTGACTGCAGCTGGCTCAGGAGCTGCTCCTTCTTCACGCGGAGGTCGGTCAGTTTGTCCTTCGCTGTCTGCAGAGCGCCTCTAATAGCTGCAATTAAATGTATAAACACATAAGCTGTGTGCTGGGTCTCAGTCCAGCCCAAAGGACATCACACCCTGCTATTTGCACCCACAGCCACCACCCAGCCAGCCCTAACAAACTGCTCTCCTTGCCCCGTGATCTGATACAGTTTCTGCTCTCTGCCCAATCTCGTGTCTATGCAAGGAGCTGCTCTCACCCCCGTTGAGTTTTCTCTGCTCTCTCTCCACAGCCTCTTCAAGGTTGCTGCTGTTCTTCTTCAGCTCTTTGGAGATGGCCCCGAGGTTTTCTGACATGACATTCTATAAAACAAACATGCGCTGCCTGGGACATGGCCTGAGAGTCTGGAATGAGAAATCAAGCCCCTGGTCCTCCAGCTGTGCTGCTGGGCTGTGGTGGGTACAGGTAAACAGCCCTGGACTATGGGACACCAAACTCCCAGGAGTCTGGCCCTGGAGAAATGCTGTTCTCCAGCAAAAAGTGCTGAAGTCCTGGAAGGAAGGGGCAGACAGAGGCCAATATGCTGGTATGAAAGCCACACGGCTGTCGAGGGGACAAAAGGGGTTGGATTTTGCTCATCTGTGCACACCACATACCTTCAGAGCCTCGCTGGCCGCCTCGTTGGCGTCATGGGCAGCTCGCTCGGCTTTCTTCACAGCCTCGATGATGCTGGCGTAGGCGTTGGAGGCGTCGATCGCTCGCTGGATGAAGCCGTCCTGGTTCGTGCCCTGGATAATGCTGTGGTTGAAGATGAAGCAGTCAGGCCCTTGCAGAGAGCTCAAGGTGAGCTCCTGCCCTTGCCCCATGGTCAAAGCCTTTTAGGCTCTGCACTAAAGCCCTGGAGATTTGCACACTCTTCAGGGGAGCCAGCCCCATGGGCAGAGCTGTGACTGGCCTGAGGCTCTCCGTGCCAGGCCAGAGGGCTGGATGATGGCTCAGTGCTTGCCAGGGAGCCAGGCGGGTGCATTACCTGGACAGGTTCCTCGCGAGCTCGTCCAGGAGCCGGGCGTGCTCCTCAGCCTGTTCTACAATTGGGATCTTGCTGCTGGCCGGGGAGAACTTCTTCACTCGCTCAGTCAGAGGCAGCTTGGCCCCATCCAGCAGGGCTGCCAACCTCTCGTACTCCTGCAAGGACATGGGTCACTCCTGAGGGACACTTGCTGCCTTCCCACTGTTGCACCAGGGAGGTGTGGACACCCCTGCGGGGCTGGTCACCCGCGCCAGCAGTGCCAGGGTCACTCTATGCTCCCCTCTCCTCCTTCACCTACCCATGGTCAGGAGCTGTGGGGTCCCATTGCCCCCACACTCTGTGGCCAGGCTGGAGCACCACCACTCACCTCCTTTGCGCTCTCCATCTTCTGCAGGAAGTTGGAGACCTGCGCCAGCGAGTCCTTGGCCATCCTCAGGGTGTCCTGCACCAGCCCATACTGCTTCTGGAGCTCCTGGCTCCTTTGCTAGAGACACAGACGTGGAGTTAGGAGCCAGAGAGCCTAGGACAGGCCCACCCTAACTGCACTTGCACCGCATGGCTGTACAGGTTCACTTGGGGAAGGAAGATCTACCTGACTCTCCTCGAGGTTGTTGCGATTGAGGCTGTTCAAGTCCTCTGTCTGCCGGGTTTTATTCACGGCCTCGTTGAGGGCATCACGGAGGTCCATGAGCTCAGAGCTGTGCTGAGCCAGCCGCTCTCGGATGCTCTTCACCAGGTCCTGGTTGGCCTCCCAGCGGGTGTACAGCTCGTTCTTCACGCGATGCAGCACTGAGGACAGAGGAGATGAGACCTGTTTCTAACCTCTTCTCTTGTTCTAAAGGGCTCTCTCTGTGTCTGTGCTGTGGAAAAGCCTGATTCTGGTCTCATTTTGCAGATACTAAGTTCAGAAGAGATGGTCCTCTCTTCCTCCCTCAGCCTGCACAGTACAAGACCTTATACAGCATCATCTCCAAACCCACAACGTTAGTCTGAGAGACAGCATGCCCTTCAGAAAAACACCCAGCTGTGACTGGAAGACTTCAAGTGACAGACAACAACTAGCTAAGGGTGATTCTAGTGCTTCTTCACTATTAAAAAGTACTCCTTATTTCTAGTGAAAGCTAAGTTATCCTTCTAGCTTTTGGCTGTTGAATTTTATTGTGCCATCTGGTGCACCCAGTTACACAGCAGGGCTTTGCTTGGACTAGAATCTGGCCCCTTCCTTCCTGCTAGAGCTGCCCTTGGGGTTGCAGGGCTGGCATCCGAGCTGGCCGGGTGGTGAGATGGCTGCTGTTGTCCTGAACAGCTCTATGGGGCAGTGGACACAAGGGAACAAGAGGGGATTCCATCATATCAATACGTGACACACATAATTACAATAATTCCTATTTCTGAGCATTGTTACTTTTTCATTATTAAACAGAACTATCCAGCTACTATAATCAAAAGTTATTTAAAAAAAAAAATCCCAGAGCCCGACTCACACTTCTGAGCCTCCTCGCGCTCGCGCCTTGCCAGCCCTTCATGGCTGCTAAAACTCCGCTCCTTCATCTCCTTCATAATCCTCTCCACCTCAGCCAACTTCTGCCGGAACTCCTCACTGGACGTGGTGCTGGTGTTTGCTGTCCCAAACTTGGCCATCTGCTGCAGCAGCTCTGCGGAAAATCCAGCATCTCTGTTACATTTGTGCTTCCCCTTCCTTTTCCCCAGGGAAGCAGTGCTTCTTGCAAAGCACAACTGTGGTGTTCCCAGCAGGAAAACACCCACCACGCAGACACCTCTTTAGCACCTACCTGCGATGCTTTTCTGGATGCTTTGGATATCTAGCAGGAGCTGCTCACCCCTCTGGTACGTGTCTCTTGTGTGCTGCTCTAAATGGTTTGCTTCTCTTTGAGTCATTGTCATCTACAACACAAAATCCTGGTTTAACTGAAGCGTGAGATTATATTTAATGTGATCTTTCAGGCAGGGGCAGGGCCAAGGCTCTCCTGGATGCACCTAGGACAGACCTAGCCATTTGTGTCTTCCCTACATTCTCCTTTTATAAAGGATGTCTTATTGCATTTATTTTCAGCCAGTTAAAGCTGGAGCTGCCTAAAGAAGTAATAAATCAAGAAATGACCAAAAATATCACAGTAAGCTTAGCAGCCCTCCACGGGACCAATCCACATAATCTAGTTCAGGCACATGAGTAAGAGGCCCTGATGCCCGCAGCTTAGTGCTGGGCTGGGCAGGTGGTCCAGCCTGTCTGAGCTAGGCTCCTCCTGGCCTTCAAAGCCCTCATTTTTGGTAAAAGGAGAGATTTGTACTCTGGCAAGAGGAGGAAGATGAGGAAGCACCCTACTTTGTGCTGCAGTGCATTCAGGTCCTGTGTGAGGTCCACGTTCTCATCCTCCAGCTCGTCCACCCGTTGCCTGACCTTGCTCAGGGCTCGCTGGTACTCACGCAGGTGGCTCTGTGAGAGAGAGCAGAAATCAGGAAAACAAGCACAGAAAAAAGGGCCAGGAGGCAGCGTTAAAGCCTTGCACGTACGGTGACGGTGGCCATCGTGCTGTTGAAGCCGTGCAGGCGAGCCCAGGCAATGGAGCTGGCGTTCAGGTTCACCAGCTGGCCCCGAATGGAGGGGAAGGACGTCTCGATGTTCTGCAGGTCTTCGAGCAGGAGCAGCACGCAGCTGTCACACACTGTTGGGGACAGGAGCAGTGAGCAGAGAGCCTTTCCCCGGCTTCCCTCGCACCCTCCCTGTGCCCGCAGGAGGGACAGAGCCTCCTGCTCCAGCCAGGCTGCCCCAATCCCACGATGAAAGAAGCCAGGGCAGCCGGAAAGGAGCGGGGAGAAGAGGTCGCAGCAGGATACCGACCTTCGCACCTCATGCTGTCCGCGCCGTTTGCCACGAGGACCTCGTGCTTCTGCAGGCAGACGTCGCACTGCTTCCCCGCCAGCCCGTTGGGGCACGTGCACTCGCCCGTGCGCGGGTCGCAGGAGCCGCCTTTGCACTCGCACTCTGCCGGCGAGACAAGCGGCTTAGAAACGTGGCACTTGAGCCAGGAAGAGGGAGCACAAGGAAAAGTCACCACCATCCCCCTCTTGCACTGTTGTTTATGACCTCTCCTTTCCCTTCCCCAAATCGCTTTAAGTTGCTCAAACTAGGGCATGCATGAGAGATATTGGAATCAAATTCAATAATTGCTGTCCTGGAGCATCCAATCTGTACAAGACTTCTCGAATCAGAAATTTTTCCACTCTACTCAGGACTTGTTAGGTCACAGCTGGACCAGATTGTCCAGTTTTGCTCTTTCCGGTTCAAGGGAGACCCTGAAAAACAGGAATGGGTCTTGTGGAGTGCTACCAAGTGCTTTGCAAAAGTTGCCTCAGGGGAAATTCTGCTTGGATACATGAAAAGCTTTATCATGAGAACAACTGAACATCTTTTCTTTCCCCCCTAAAGGTTGCTAGGAGAAAGATGGCAGTGGTTGGTGCTGGAGGGGGAACAAGGGGTGGATCTATTCCACACGTGCAGCTGCGTCTCTGCTCGTCTCCAACGTTTCAGCCCCAAAACGCACGTGGGATTTGAGAGCGGTGCCTGCCCGTGCCCGGGACTCACTTGTGCAGCCTCGGGGGCTGAAGCCCCAGTAGCCGGGGGCGCAGTGCTGGCAGCGCGGGCCGCTCACGCCGGGCAGGCAGCTGCAGTGCCCGGTCTGCGCGTGGCAGCGCGGCCCCGCCGAGCCCGCGCCGCAGTCGCACCGCTGGCAGCCCGAGCAGCCCTCGAAGCCGTAGTAGCCGTCCTAGGGAAGAGCAGCGCGTTTGGCTTCCCGCTCAGCCCTCAGGACATGGGATCCCAGCCCCAAAAGTGCTTTGACACCCCCAAAACTTAGGCCAGCAAAGCAAGGAGCAGGAGCTGCACCAAGGGATCCTCACTGACCCCAAATGCAGTATCAAGCCCCCAACTTGGCTCCACTCCCAGGCCCTCCTCCCTGTCCCCATGGGGCACCCCCTGTCCCCAACGCTCCACACGGGGCTCCTCACCTCGCAGCGGTCGCAGTGCTGGCCCGTCACTCCAGCCTTGCAGAAGCACTGGCCGGTTTGCGGATGGCACGAGTCGGTCCCGCAGGGCGAGCAGTGGCACTCTGCCAGGAGGAGCACAGCCCATCACACAGAGAACTCACCAGAGCGAACAGCCACCCACAGATACCCCTGGTCCCACTGGGGAACCCTATTTTCTACCTGTCTAGCACAGCTAGAACAAACCCCAGCCCTCGCCTCCATCTCAAGCAGTGTTGGGATCGCATTGGGCAAAGCTACGCTCCGACAGGAACGACGACCAGGTGAGCTGCTTGGGTTGAGCCTGCTCCAGCCTGGGGGCAGCTTAGAGGGGGCAGATAGGAGGTTACAGAGCTGTGATCCCGGGAGGGAAGACTTTGGAGCTGTTCCTTCCTTAGCAGTGTTATTTGGCACGCGTTTGCCTCGGGCAACACACACAAGTGCTAAGGGGCTGCACGCGGTCACGCTCCGTCCGTCCGTCCGCCCTCCCGGCACCCCCGCCACTCACGGGTGCAGTTCTTGGCCACCACGGCGTCCCCGTAGTAGCCGGGCGCGCACACGTCGCAGCGGGGCCCGGCCGTGTGGTGCATGCAGCCCGTGCAGGCGCCCGTCAGCGGGTCGCAGCTGCTGAAGAGCATGTTGGTGTCCGTGTTGCCGCTGCACTCGCAGGGCTGGCACGAGCTGCCGATCACCAAGGGATTGCCGTAGTAGCCCGGGGCACATCTGCAGAAACACGGCATGTTAAAGCACAGGGAAGGAATACACCCCCCAAAACACATTACAGCAGCAACGGGAACACTGAGCGGGTTTTTGCAGGCTGAAAGGGACTGAAATAAACCCTGTCCGAGCGAAGCATGCTCGGGTCAGAGCCAACCCTTTCCACTGCTGTTTCTAGGACAACTTTTTTGCTACTGTGGGGCCTGTCCTGGTTGTTGTGGTCCCAGCCCAGAGCCGCTGGTGCTGGTGCTCTCACCGCTCGCAGTTGGGTCCCGCGTAGCCGGGCTTGCAGAGACACTGCGTGCCGGAGCCCTTGTGCACGCAGCCAACGGCGAAACTGCAACGACAGGAGGGACACAACGGAGCGGTCACCTCACCCGTGCAGAGCCCATTGCTGGTGAGGACGGCGAGGCCTCGGGTTTGAAGCCAGCTCATACACAGGGTTGTTCCTGAGACATCCAGATCCCAGCAGTGGATCCCATCCAAGGGCACTTACTTGTTGGAGGCGACCGAGAGAGGACAGGGGCATCCGACGCACTGCAGGAGCCCTTCGGCCGAGCGGCTGCCCACGTAGCCGTCCTTGCAGCGCTCGCAGTGCTCGCCCTCCGTGTTGTGCTGGCAGTTCTGCAAGGACAAGGGAGGCTACGCGCTCAGCATGGACGGGAGCGGACGGGGCTTAGGGCAGACAATTCCCTGTCAGATAACTGGACACTTTGGTCCTCCTTCTCTCCCGGGACTGTCTTTCATCCCAAGCTGACCCCAAGCCAGGACACCCCCAAAATGGCACATGCAGCTAATGGCCCTGTTCAGGCAAGATCTACACACATAAAACCTTTCAATCATGTGCTGCAGCCCTCCCAGATCCAGATCTCAGCGCTTCACTGGCTATTTACTTACCAGGCATATCCCGGATCCTGGCAGGCACTGGTCTGAGTGGCCATTGCAATGACATGGGATGCATTTTCCCAGAAAGAGCCCCTTGGTGTCCCTGTAGTAACCTGGAGCACATTCCTAGGGACAAGGAGAAAGAAAGAGAGATGAAACAGAAAAAAAGAAGAGAGATGTTAAAAATAGCCCATCACATTCAGGGGTTGATTTAGTTTCCATTGCAGAATTCCCACAGGGTTGTGCAGATGGAAAAGAGATTAAAAGCAACAACAGCTAAAGAAGATTTCTCAGTGCAGCTCTTTCCTGCTCCTCATCAATAGAGATAAAGGGCCAGGCAGCAGGACCCACCCCCAGGCAGTGCCTGCCCTTAGCTCTGACCCACAACACCTGTAGTTTCCCTGTAACGACTCTTCCCGAGCCCTAGCACCCCTCTCCCAGGTGTGGGTGTCGTGCTGGGAGGGAGCCTGGGAGCAGTGGTTTCTTCCTGGGGTTCAATCTGTTCTGAAATTAGAACTGGAGCCCTTAGGGGCTGCCTTGGAGGCACTGCTGCTGCACAGACATCACACAAAGTGCATCCAAACCCTGTGGCTGCCACCCGTGCTGCACAGCGGGGTGGCTGATGTCCAAAGCAGACGACGTTCGATCCCATTCTGCCCTGTACAACCATGGCCCCTCTTGCCCCTACCTGGCAGGAGTCTCCCTGGTAGTTGGCTGGACAGAAGCAGAGCTCCACGTTGCTGGCGCGGACGCTCATGGCCGTATCTGTCACCGTCTCCAGGACCACGCGGTGCAGGGACACAGAGGAGGAGAGCTGAGAGAAGAGCGCGCGGATCTGCAGCTGCTCCAGGTTTGCCAGGACCATCATGAGCTCCTCTCGGGACACGGGGTTGTGCGTCTCCGTGTGCCGGAAGTTTCCCTAGTGGGAGAAGACTTGGTGTTACTGGCAGGAAGCACAAGCCCTTATTTTGTGTTAGACAGCTGCAAAACAGCCCCTGGGTCTTCTGCTGCACCGGCCTGCTGAAACTGCCTGCTTTAGGAGCAAGGTGTTTCAGTACCTTATGACCGTCTTAATGTCTTGCTACCACACGCATCCAACACTACCCAAGGCCATAGTGCCCTGGAGCCTAGGGCAGCTGAGCTGTACTTAAGAAAACACACCCAGTACAGCCAAACACTAACACAGGCTGCCAAGCATGAGGCTACCCCGCAGTGATCTTTATTCCAGAACGACTGGCACGGGCCTTGAGAGCGGATGGACATCCAAGAGACCAGTACATGCTGCTGCAATTTATGCTGGGCTCAAAGATAGTGATGCAGAGAACACTCATTTTTTTGATGTTTCAAGTGAAAGACTCAGGGCTTGAAATCGGCAAGTAATTTGTTCTCTGTATGGTTGAGAGCTCAGACAAAAAGAAAGCAGCAACAGGAAGCACTTAAAAATGCTGAATTCAAAGCAATTCTCCCTTCTGTCTCCATCCTCGTATTGTCCTCCCACTGGCATGCAAGGTCACTCGTGTGTGCAAACTCACCTCCACCAGCTGCAGCCGCCCTTGGTGTACATCCCCCGGCGAGGGGTAGGCACCTTCCAGGAACATGATGCTCATCTGGTTTCCCTGGGAGAAGGAAGGAAGGTGCCAGTCACCGTGTCACGCTGCTCACCCAGCAGCAGGAGGCACCAGGGCACTTCTCGGGCTCTACCTTCAGGATCACGTCCGGGCGGGACTCCAAGGGAATGAAGACGTCACCTCGGTGCGGGTCCGAGTGAAGCTCGTAGCGCAGATGCCCACCGTAGGATGAGACCTAGGCGAGAGCCAAACCATGTGGGGTGAAGTTATGCTGCTGTGGGCCAGGAGGGAGATGCGCTCGGTGAGCTGGGCACAGCTGCCCGTGCTCAGAGCAACCCTGCACGGCGCTGGGCACCCCTGGCCCGTGCATTGAAGGATGCCCGGGGTGCGCGTGACGGCTGGGCTGGTTGCCTCGCCGAGCAGCGGCTCTTACCCGGTCGCCGAGGTAGGAGCTGGGTGCAGCCCAGTAGAGCTCCTGGAAGGCCTCGGGGAGGCTCCTGAGGTCGGCGCGAACGAGCTGCTCCGGCGCGCTCAGGCTGACGGGCACCTGCTGGCGGTCGCTGCTCAGCAGCACCCAGCCGCTCATGTCGACGAACTAGGGCAGAAACAGGAACCTGGGCTGTTTCCAGAGCTCCTCGTGGAGCTATGGAATGCGTTTGGATGCTGGCACTGCAGAAGAACAATTCTCCCTGCAGGGCCTGATGCCTGCAGGGTCACAGCCTTGCAATGGATATGGCTATTTGGGTACAAATTAAAACACAGAAGTTCCATCTCCACTTGAGGAAGAACTTCTTTACTGTGAGGGTGACAGAGCGCTGGAACAGGCTGTCCATGATTCTCCTTCTTTGGAGATCTTCAAAACCCACCTGGATGCCACCCTCTCTGCCATGTGCTCTAGGTGTCCCTACTTGAGCAGGGGGTTGGACTAAATGATCTCTAGAGGTCTAGAGGTCCCTTCTGACCTTAACCATTCTGTGATTCACCAAAGTCACTGGGAAGCGGGCACCCCCCAGCCCTCTGGACCCCTGGAGGTCCTGTGGCACAATGGCAAAGCCCAACAACTTCCCACCCAAGAGACCAGGGAAGGGAGCTGAACATGGGAGAAGAGCACAGTGAGCTGAGGAAAACCCTCCTCATGTCAAACCATCCCCAGGGGCAGGATGGAAGAGCAGAGGGCCCAGGAAGAACCTGCTCTAGCAGCCTCCAGTCCCGCTCCACTCACCTCGGCTCGGTACTTCTCAGCACTGCGGCAGCGGTCGGTCGCTCCGAAGCAGAAGCACTTGGTGCAACCCTTGGGGTTGCTGGCATCCAAAGAAAACGTCCCCAGGCGGCACTGGTCACACCTTGGGCCCTCCACATTTTCCTATAAGGCAAAGACAGGCAACGCTTGACCTGTCACCTGCTCCCCGTTAGGCTCTTGCGGAGCACAGACACAGCTGTACGAGTTATCAAAGCAGGACAAGTAGAGGTGCTGCAGCACAGGGTTCAGCTATGCAGAAACACCGCGTGCGAAGGTGTTCAGAGGACTCACCTTGCAGTGACACTGTCCCGTGACCGGGTCACACACGCTCGCTTCAGTGCCAGCCTGGTGGCAGTCACACCGCCGGCAGCTGGGGTAATGGTAGTAGCCAGGGGCGCAGAGGTCACATTGCCGACCTATGATGTTGGGCTTGCACCTGGATAGGATATAAGAGCAGCAGAGTGAGAAACCTCTGCGTAACGATCCTGTGTGAGGAGCTGCAGGGTGGTCAGGGCTTTGCTCATGCCAGCATGAATTGCAGAATGGAAGAGCAGGGAGGCGGGTGCTGAGGATCAGGAGGTGGGTGTTGAGGACCAGAAGGTGGGTGCCGAGGACCAGGGAAGCGGGCGATGCTCCCTGGGCGCTGCTCACCTGCACTGCCCGCTGTCCACGTCGCAGCCCGGCTCCGCCAGCTCCTGCACGCCGGGCCGAGAGCAGTTGCAGTCCTCGCAGCCGATGAGCGGGTGGCAGCCGAAGGTCTGGGGCTCGACGCACTCCGACTGCAGCGTGTGCGGGGGGCAGATGCAGCGCCCCGTCACCTCGTCGCAGAGCCGCGGGCCGCAGTCGCACGCTGCAAGGGGGACAGAGGCGCTCAGCCCTGCAGCTGGGAGCTGGGCTGTCTTCTGCCTCCTGCTCAGGATAGCGGGACACACGTCCAGCTGAAAGCAGCGCTGGGCAGTGCGGCCGTTTCCCAAACCCGCCTCCCAAATCCGGAGGCATTTGGGGACAGGACAACTCACGCCTGCAGTTGGGGAAGCCCCAGTAGCCGGTGGCGCAGCGGGAACACTGCCGCCCGATGACGTTGGGCTTGCAGGGACACTGCCCGCCGAAGGGCTCGCACTGGCTGCCCCGCGCGCCGACCTCGTGGCACCGGCACGGCTGGGCCCCGTTGTTGTAGAAGAGCGAGAGCGACGTGGCCGAGTCGCGGCAGAACCTCGACGACGTGCTGGGGCTGCAGGAGAAGGCGCGAGGAGTCACTGCAAAAGCCAGCAGGACCTCCCGCAGCGATTACAGATGCAGTGGGAAGGACTGCTCTGCACACCAAGATCCCCAAACACCCAAAGGTTTGGTACTTCGATAGGAGCAACTAACTCTTCCCGCCCCTGCCACCTGCAATGCTCCAGGAAGGGCACAAGTGCTGCTCTTGCTTCCTGAGGAACAGGCAGCCTGTGGACAGCAGAAAGGGTAGCCCAAAGCCAAGGATCTCACTTGATGTAGAAGCTGTTGATGCCACAGCTGCTGATGAAGTCATAGGACTTGTCCAGGGGTTCCTCCTGCAGATACTGAGAATTGTAGCTTTCTTCTGGCACCACAAGGATGTAATCCTGCCATGAGAAGATGGACAAGTCAGGCTCTTTAGCTAGCCCAGACCAACACAGGCTGAAATGAGCTCACTCAGGAGGCTAAATGCACCTTTAAATTCTCAAGCTATCCCTCCGTTGGGGTTAATCCATCAGGATCCATCTACTCTAACAACCCATGGAGACGGGCAGCTGTTCTCACCTTAAACTCCTAGCTACAAAATGACCAGGGTTCCAGGACCGCCTTTTAGTTTTCTAGCCCTTCTAGTCTTCAGTCCTCTAGTCCTCCTGTGCCGAGCTTAGGATGACAAAGACTCCCTGCTCCCATGATGGGACATGCCTGGACAAGCCATGCCACCCAGGTGCCAGGGATCACTGGGGCAGGAAGGTTTGTTTGGGATTATCAGAAGCTACAGCTTCAATTTCCACCTTGTTTTGCTATCGAAGCCACACAGCAGCAGGAAAAGCATGTCATACACAGAGCCTGTCTTGGCAAATTCTGCACTCAGTTCTGCACCATGAAGTAGGTTTAAGATTGTGGCTTTATAAGATAGTGCAGAAACGGAGTGATGGATATTCCTATGGTCAAACAGGAGCAAAAATCCTCCAGGACTCCCCCACATGCGGAGTCCCCTGGGAAGAGGCTCACCAGCCACAGCTGCTTCCCCTCCGGCACTCGCACAATCACTGTCAGGTCGTTGTCAGTAACATCCAGGATAATCTGGTTTTCGGAAACTACCAGGCTCCGGCACCCATAGCCATGTGGGCAGAACGTTGCATTGGTCTCCCCTGAAAAGAAAACAAACCCTGTGGAGCCCCGTTTCCCTTGCAGTCCCCATCACCCTATCCACCTGCTCTCAGGGGAATCTCATTTCTAACACCCTTGTCTAGGCTTTTTCTGCTAGGAGCCAGAGGTTTGCAGACCCCAAATTGCCTCCTGGACTGCTTTTAAGGGGCTTGCAGTAGCTGGTGAAGAAAAGGAACTCTACTGTTAGCAAGCTGCAGATGCCTACATGGCGGTCTTCATCTCTACAGCAGATTTTTTTTTCCAGGTTCCCAAACTGAAAATGGTTGAAAAGGACAGAAAGTGAGGAGGACACCTGACAACCTGGAGCAGAGCAGTCTCACCCTGCTACCCTCTTGGTGGGGATGGAAGAGATTAGTTCGGCAAATTTTGTTTTTCACGCTCCTGACAGAGCCTGCAGTTACCGCCTGGCATGACGAAGGTTTCTGGGGCCCCTTTTCCACAAACGTCTCCCAGGACCCAGCTCTTCTTACCTTGCCAAACACGTCCACCACTGATTAGCACTTCCACAGGGAAGGTGGGATGGTTGGGCTGGTAGTAATGCAGGATGAAGGCGTAGCGCCCCAGCGTCTGGATCCTACTGCTAAACACAACAGCAGCCTGGCCCCAAACAGGAGAGCAGAGACATAAGAAACCTCATCGGACATCTGCATTCACACCCAGGATATTTTTAATTGTATTTTTAACTGGTGCCTGTGTTCCCACCCGGGGGTCCCCTGTCGCTACCTGCGGGGGCTGCAGGAGGATCAGCTCTGCCGAGGGGTCCAGCGCGGTGGGCGGTCGTGGCGCGGGCTCCACGGGGACAGCGGCCGGCACGACGTGGACCCCCTGCGCCAGGGGGGTGTCTGGGCCGATGGGCAGAGCCTGGCCTCCCTCCAGCACGATCGACTGGGAAAGCTTCAGGAAGCGCGAGGGGATGCAGGAACTGCTGCGAGGGAAGGAGGAAACGGGACGTCAGGATCTCCAATAAGGAAAGGCAGAAGCGGCCAAGCTTTCCTTCTCCTGTGTTAGGAGCTCAGAAGCACCAAACCTGAGGGAAGTGGGGGATGCGACTGCTTTTGGAAACAGCCGCATTCATGCCAAAATCCAGAGGGACCCGAGCCCCTGTTACCTGTTGGATGAGAACGTGCCATGGATGCTGATGCAATGCACCTTCGGCTCCACAAACTCCACAGTGAACCGCGCAGCAGGTACGAGGTAGACCTTGTGCTGGACGTGGGAAGAAAGCAGAGGCCTTGTTACACCACGTCCCCTGTCCCAGGCATGGGCATGCTGGGCATTCCCTTAGCAGATCCTTCACAGCCTGTTAAGAGCTAGGGAGAGACTTTGGGCTTGGCAGAGGTCTGGAGCTGACGCTACACCACCAAACACTACTGTGAGAGAAGCTAAGGGCATGCAGGCTGTGGGCTACACAAGCCCCTTGGGAGACCATCGTGAGCATCAACTTGATCTTCCACAAAAGGGCCAGCACTGCACATCAGGTCAAATCCCCATCTCCTGTCCCTTCCTCCAGGGTGTAAGCCCCTGAGGTTTAGGAACTCCTCTTTTTCATGAGATCCTTAAAATCTTGGCTCATCAGCCACAAAGGCCTTCAGGTAAAATAGGAGGCTGAATGTCACACTGCTGCAAAGCTCCTCTACAAAGAGCAGCTTCTCTTTCCTATTCTCTCCCAGCTCCCAGTTTCACGATGTACCTTAAAACACATTGCTGTGAATATCTCCACCTTGCTCATGGCATAAACATAGATCTAGCAATCGTTCTAAAGAGGACCAGAAAGCTTTTCTCCAAGATAGACACTGCTCCTACCTCTCCTTCTTGCAGTGTGCAAACAGAGCTGTCCTCGCAGGAAGCCTTACCAGGAAGAAGTCAGCCTGATCAGCCATGAACCGAACGGTCGCCTCCGAGGTAAGTTCAAAAGTTGCCAGGCGGCTCTGAGAATCTACAGCCATCCCTCGACAAAGGAAACTGCAAGATGAAACAGATTTTGAGGCCAGCCTTGAGCAGGGTCACGACCCACTTCTTGTCTTGCTCACTGTATGTCCTGGAGGTATTTATACAAAGTCCCTGTATATCTTTTGATGCCTTTTCTGGCAAGTCATGAGAGTAAAATATCCCAAGGACAGCCCAGACCTTTGTTTCTTATTGCAAAGGTGGTGATCTGAAATCAGATGCTTGTGCAGCGAGGGACAGGCTATTTGACCTGCACCAGTAGCTCCAATAAACTCTTCTGTGGGCCATGCCCTAAACAGGGGCTTTTCCAATTTCCCCCACACTTTCTCCCTGCCTCTCGCTCAGACCTGGCCGTACCTGTAGACACACGGGTAGAACGTAAACGTGCCCTGCTGCATGGCCAAGTGGGGCGAGCTCACAGCAACTCCCACCGTCTGCAAAGCGTTGGTGTTGGCGTACTCCACCACCAGCACGTATTTCCCGGGCTGGGGAACGGGCAGGGAGAGCTGGACTTCCACCTGGAGGAGAGAGACACGAGTGAGCTGGGGTCTCCTGGCCCCAAAGCGAGAGCACGTAGGGTGCCCATGCTACCCACCAGGCCAGGGCTGACAGGGGAGCAGGGGATGCAAAGCCCCTCTGGTAGCCTGCCAGAAGCTACTCACGTCACTGCCGCTGCACGTCGCCATGCGGGGGTGAGCGGGGGTGAGCTGCTCCGTGGGACACGCTCTGGGCAGCCGGTTGTCCAGCCTGCACACTGCCTCCTCTGCTGACGCAGCGGGGAAGCCATCCACCGACAAGTACTTGTACAGGAGGCAGCTAAAAGCATCAGGGAAAGATTTGCAAAGTACTGTCCTCACGTCACGATTGTAGAGGCGTCATGAGCAAGCCCAGTGAGAACATGACGACTCCAGAGGGGCACCCCTGGTTAGCATGGAGTAAGAGGCATTATAGGACAAGGAAAGGCAGTAAGAGTGAAAAGATTCTCCCTTTGCAGTGAACTGCCCTTCATCCCAGAGATCCTCACTCAGGAGAGAAGAGATGCTCTCCTGAGCCCATCCAGCCTTCCCAGCAACATCAGCAGAGAAGTCTTGGGCAGGAAGCACTGACCAGGAATGGCAAGTTCACTTGAAATAGGCTAGTAAGCTCATTGCCTGCGGTCTTCCAGGGTTGCAGACTGAAGCATAGTGGAGTTCCCAGTACGGGAAAGGGCTACGCTCTCCTTGGCTGCTTCAGCTCTTGGCTGATGGTGCTAGGATCAAAGAGATGGGCATGGCTTCCTGGGCCAGCCCAAGTTCAGCAGTCATTATCAGCCCTGGCTAAGTGCTCCATTCGCAGCTTTACTGCATCCAGACCCAGGCAAGTCCGAGCGCCCAAGTGTTACCCAAGGTATCCCTGCCCCACCATCTCGCAGAGTGTGGACTGAACCTATCTCTTAATCCCAGACCAAGAGGACCTGAGTTGTTCCTCACAGTACATGAAGATCCTTACTTCTGCGTGGCTCTTTCAGGGGCTGGCTGGTAGGTACATGGCTCTGTGACCTTCAGCTGCAGTATTGGAGCTTCATAGTACGAGCTGGGTAGCAAAACCAGATAGTCCTAGGAGGAGAGAAAGGAGAGGATGTTACTTTGGGGTACAGGCTCCTGAGATGCTGCTGAAGCCCCTCTCGGTGCACGGAGACAGGTCCTTACCAGCAGCACACCCTCTGCTTCAACAACCAGAGACCAGGTGCTGGGGTTGAGCACGAAGGGCTCCCCAAAGCTGTTCTGGGGGACGGTGACAAAGGCTGGTTCCGTGCTGGGAGCAAAGACGATCTGCTTGGTCTGCTCCGTACCTGGGGCGGGAAGGACAAGAGGCTGTGAAGGCACTGGGAAAGGGTTGCGAAACCCGGAGCTGCAAATCGGAAGCTATGGGCAGGGAAGCAAATCTGTAGTGCAGTGGGGGAGTCCTGGGCTTGTGCTTTCCACGGAGCTGCACCACAGATGCACCACATTGACCCATAACAGAGACATCCAAATGGAATCTGCCTGGTAACTTAATGACAGAAAAAGAAAAAAAAAATCCCTGCAATCCTTAACACACAGCCCTGAACTGTGCAACCCTGGGCTGCAAACCATTGATTACTGCATGCCAAAGAGGATTTCACCAGCTGGAGAAGGAATTCATCCAGGAAAAATGCGTCTAAGGTAGACAAAAAAAAAAAAAAATTGCTCAGATACTTTTGTCCGCATGGATTTTCTGACCCCATCTGCCCAGGTGAGATACCTTTTCTCTAGCAAACTCTCAGACCCCAAAGCTTTACTCTTGCCTTTTCTGCCAGCCACAAACTCTCTCCAGCTGACATTTAGACATTAATTTCAACTGACAGGACTGAATGGATTTAAGGCCTGATCTTGCTGCTGTTGACCAGCGCCTTGGTTCAGCTGACATTCTCCCAACCTTCGAACTCCTTAACTGTGGATGTAATAACCTGGGAACACCTGGAAACACACTCTTTGCCTGCCTAGCTGTGTCACAAGTGTCTTGAAGCTCACGGCAAGAGGGAGTCACCAAAACGCAGCTGCGTGGGGAGCAGATGAGATGAAGGAGGAAATGGGAACTTCACCAGGAGAGAAGCTATGGCAAGGGCTTGTGCTACCCTGGGCCTGGTGGCCATTTCCATGTGTGCTCTCTCCACTACATGACCAGCATTAGCCAAGCCCTCACTTTCTCAGAGAGGAAGCAGGAGGTGGGGATGCAAAGGGTGAACAGCATTTCCCTCATCGGGCAACAAGGGGTAGATGTCTCTAAGAGTTGCAGCTTGACGTCCCTTGGAGATGATGCACGTCTCAAAGTGAAATGGCTTGTGGAGCTGGGGTGGGAGAAACTGCTCTGCAAACCACAGAACAGGTTTGTCACAGGCCAGATCTTCTGACTTATGTTTCCAGTCAGGGAGAGACTAAACGAACTCGGAATGCTGGTTTCTCTGCAGGCCACTTGTCCTTCACCATTTGAAGTCCATTCCACCCAGGTAGAAGGTGACTCTGCAATTCTGTAGCCATCCTGGACTCATTTGCTGTTCCATCAGTCTGGGAGGCTGCCTTCAGCTTTAGAAAATCAAACATTTCTTCTGAGCAAGGAGGAAAGCACACTGCAAAGCACACGAGCTCTGGCCACTGGACTAAATCCATTCAGACCCTAGGTGGGATCTTGAGGCAAGAGGGTGGCTCACACTTCTTTTGTCTTTCTGCTGTGTAACATGACTGGCCATGAAAAACAACGGTATCTTTCACTCAAAAAAAAAAAAAAAGTGGAAAGATTGTATCTTTGCCTGTCAAAAAGTGGAAAAATAGTATATTTGCATGTCAGACTTGGCACATATCTCCAGCTGTTCACAAGTCCAAACAACTTCTATGTCAATTGAAGGGAAGGGAGAGAACTTCCACGCTGATAAATTAGGTAGCTCTTACTGGCTTGTCTGTGGTCTGGAGGGAGAACCTCAGCAGGAGAGGGTTCCTGGGGAGCCTCAGAGGGGTGAAATCCACGAGCGCGCTGCGCACCAGGGCGCTTGGGCAGCCTCTGCTCCGGCTCCCGCTGGCTGCCTGTATATTCCATGCAGAGGTCTCGAGGCTTCTTCAACCATCTGTCCTGGCTCTTTTTGCTCTCTGGTGGCTCGTGCTGTGATAGCGACTATCCACCAGAGCGCAATGCTGGCACAATGTGTGCAATTCCACGCCGCTTCCAAAGCCGGCACCCTCGCGAAGCCAGCTGGCTGCTCTGGGTAGCATAGGGCAAGGGCAGCCCTGCCGTGCATGGGGACCTTAGAAATCCACCCCGGTCCGGCTGCCAAGACCTGGATCCACTTCCCAGCACTTGGCCCATTCTGATTTTGTGCAAACTTGACTGGATTCTGCCTTGGGCAGTGAGCGATGCTCCTCTGGCCCTGGCAGGGAAAGCCGAGTTGGAAAGGCAGGACTTAGGGGATGAAGCCACGTGGAAGTGCGCTCTGGAAAAGCCGCTGCCGGAGCTTGCCTGGGATGGGGAGGAGGTGGCGATGGCGCAGGGGAGTGCTCCATGATCCTTATCTCTCCTCCATGGCTGAAAAGCTGTAATTTTGCCATACACACTGGCCCCTCCTGTATTAATACACCCCAGGAAGCCACGGAACAGTCAGAGCTCGGCCCCCGCCGCGTCTGCAGCGGCTCTGACTTTATTCTGCAAGAAGCCAAGCAGGACAGGGGG